TGGAGGTCAAGCACCCATCTGTTTGTCAGTCAGCCTGCTCTTTCCAGCATGCAGCTCAGACCAAATCCCTTCCTGGTCACCTCTGTAATTTCCTCTCGAGCCCTAGGGTCTCTCTGTCTTTCTCAGATGCTGAGGACATTTCCTGCTTGTCCTCTTTAAGATGCTAGCTCAGACCTTCTTTCTTTATTTATTTTTTTAAAGATAACTCATTATTATTTTAAGTTACAAATAGAATTTGGCTTTTAATTTGCCAGGTTCTGTCTTGTACATATTGCGTTGATGCTATTCGTCACTTTTCACCTTCTTGTTTGCAACTATCAACATAAAGTTGAGGGGAGGAGGAACACAAGTCATGATTGCAGCTGTGAAATCAAGCAGACCCTCAGACAGCAGCAGTAAGAAAGAGAAAGGCTCTCATTATCAAGAAACTGCTCCTAGCAAAGTGGAAACACTCCCAGGGCCAGAAATCTGTGTGTGGAAAGGAAAAAGGAAGCAAGGAGCTGGATATTGATCTTGCCAAATGAAGCAATGTAAGAAAATATTACATTGTGATTTCTTTCCGTTATTTTCTCAAGTAGGTCCAGCAACTCAGATTAGGAGAACAATGGCTGAGCTGCTGGAACAAAATCCAGTGCCTTTGATAAAGCTCCAGGAAGCAGGAAATAGCAAAATTATTGAGATGAGGCAAGTCCTTCTAAGAGTTTAACATGGTTTAAAAAAAATCGAAAGGACTCTTTGGAATTATGACATGTATCTTATCTTCTTTCTATTCATACTAACAAAATGAGTGGGTTTTAAAAATAAATTGTGTGGAAATTAAATAGTGTATATTAACCATTTGCTCAAAGAACAAACATTGTGGTTACATCAGACATGAGTCCTCAGCTGATGAATCGATTGTCACTGATCTGAGTTTAGCAAAGAATCCCATGATGAACTTACAGTGAAAATATCAGTTAGGCTCTCAAATCTTGGTTTAACCTTTATTGTTTTTTGCTCCTTCACCACCACTTGTCTTTCAATACTCTTGAGATTCTATTAGATGTTCACTGAGTGCATCGTCTCTAGGTGCTGACGGTTAAGGCAAGTGGACATAAAAATGGCTTAGCAACCAGAATCCTGTGGCAGATGCTTTTGCAGGTGAAAGATATTATGGCCCTTTCAAGAGGCTGGGTGGCTGTTCTATCACCTAAACTTCACTCGTCTCTATCATTAGTCTATTTTGCCTACTTCAGAAAGCTGTTGTAAGGCTCTGATGGGGACACTGTATAGACTCTTGTGAGCTGTGAAAATACTTGCAAATACAGTCATAGGTAGTAATTTACATGATTCAATATAGGAATGCATTGCAAATTTGACCTATGGACTTTAAAAGAAACTCACACTGAAAGGGAGCTTATTTAGCCTCTGCTTTGAAATATAGAATTTTCCCCTTTTGGATGTGATATCCCTTAGTTCTTTTTTGGAGTACAGTGTCCAAAACATGGTCTTTTTATGTAGCCTGCCCTCAAAGTTGCCATCCTCCCAGGTGCTGAGTTTATAAGCATATGCTGTCACCCTCAATTCTCTTAGCGCTTTCTCAAATTAAAATGTTTTTTTATTTTAAATCAGTTAGTGCTCTTATATTATTTTTCTCAATAATTCAATTATTGTACTTAGGACATTGTAGTATATTTATAAGACCTGCATTTTACTTTTTCTGTTAGATTGTGAAAATTTTGAGGAAAAACTCTCTCATCAAGTAGGCATTTGGAGTAGGGTTGAGCAGTGATTTTCCAGTGAGGTTTCTTTCCTAAGGTTTATTTTGTGTTTGATTACAATATTTACTAGGCAACAGAGATAGTTTTCTATTGTTCATTTCGTGGAGAAGGGGAGGAAGGGAGGGGTTGGGAGGGGAGGAGGGAGGGAGCTACAGGGTGGGATACAAAGTGAATAAAGTGTAATTAATAAAAAAATTAAAAAAAGAGTAAAGTGAAAACAATGCTCTCCTGAAAAAAAAGAAAGAAAGAAAGAAAGAAAATATCCTGGCATACAATGATAAAGGGTTCTGGGCATCCAATTAGGGATTCCACTGACGGCCCATCTATCTATGGTGCATAGTAAAGGAAGACAATATTAGCAATGGTACAGTCATTCATACAACACATGATATATATAAGAGGGAAAGCTTCCTGGTACACCCCTGTAGGAGGCATTAGATGTCTTTACCTTTTTGTCACCCAAAATTTTCAGTTTCATCTTCTGTGGACCTCAAAAATTCTTGTTTGTAAGATAAAAGAATGAAACCAAGGGACTTTGCTCCCTCTCCTATCTCTGCATTTATCTTGTGAGATTGATGAATATTTCATTTAGTTTTTTTGGTTGGGTTGGGTTTTTGGTGTAAACTATCAGATCTCCAGAGCAATGTGGAGGTGATCTCTGCGTTCTGCTAGATATGCACTCCAATCTTCCGCTGTTTTTCTTGCAGTCCAAATCACTGAGATAACAATAAAGAACATTAGTTAAAAGGCAGAACATTTAGAGACTGGATTTAAATGAGGCCTTATATATGGAGAGATATGTGAGCAGATGAAGGTCAGGGGAAGGCCATGGGGATGGTGAGAAATACAGCAGACTCATGCTAAGAGATGCTAACAAAGTTTGAAGTTTGGATACCTAGAAAGGAGAGCTTGGGTTGTCTTTGAGAGTTCCCATGAAATTTTGTGAACAGTGGAGACCGTGTTCAGCCAGAAAGGCAGGACAAAGTCATACCTGCTGAATATCATCGAAAGCCTGGCAGTAAATGAAACCAACATGAGTGAAAAGGAAGAGGAAATTGCCAGTGACATACAGACGCAGGGCTGCTCTGTTAAGTGAAGAGAAAGACTGGAATGGAAGCAAGAGCTCCAAGGGAGGAGAGGTGCATTTGCCAAGCAGTCATATCATTCAATGCTTTAAAAGTTGGAAAGGATGCTTCCAGCTGGAGGAATATGGCAGCTTGGCAAACTGTTACCTCTCCTGAGTATTTCTCATAAATGATAAAAGATTTATCTCGGCTGTCCAGAGTAGTTTGCAAAAATGTTTATTAATGAGCTTCAGAGCAGATTCTGATCTTGGTTGAAAACAGGTGTACATTTGACAGTCTCTGGGTAACTAAATGAAGGCTTAATCAGTCTTCTTCCTTTAATAGCACCTCTGACCCCATATTCTTAAAGAAAAGCATGTATGCAGAACCTTCTATGTTTTATTTTTTATTTTTTGGTAGCATTAGAGGGACCACTTTTGCAAGCTACATTCCTTATTTCTCTTCCGTATTCTTTTATAGCTCCACCCTCCCACCATCTTCTTTGTATCCCTTTCTACGTTCTAGAATGACTTTAGTAGTGTGCCATGCAGAGACATAGAAGTTTGGCTTGACTGTGCTGTTGACAGTTCATCTGTCAGGGCGTAACTGTCTGGCATGCCCAGTCACTGTTTTGCATTCCTTTGCAAAGTATGCCTTTGTTTAGTCTTGAGGGAATAGGCTTCCCTCATTTTTCCATACACTCAGAACATGGCTAATGGCCACTCTTCTTTGTATGGAATGCAGATGTTTGCATTTTCACACGGTTTAGCCAATCAGCTCTCCATCCCTTCTGCAAATTGCAAGGTGTCTAATCTAGAGGGAAGATTCAAGATATTTTTCTTGTGCCATTTCTAAGAAAAATTACATAGGTCATGGCAGAGAAATTGTGCTCCTTTCCAATTTATCTCATTATTTTAAAAAATTCTACCATCTGCTTTCAGGCCATATGTAGCACGTTATTAGTTATAGAAGGCCTGGCTGATTAGCTATTATCCTTTGAAGTATAAAACCCAATATGCTTCTGAAATGAGACCGTTTTTTTTTTAATAAAAACTAATTCTTGAGAATTTTTCTAGTTTTGTGTTGTCACTGCATGCTATAGTTTTCAATGCATCCTATGTTTTCCTTACGTAAAACAGAAAACTTTTCACCTACTGTAAAAATTTAAATGTTATGTCTTTTTGCATGATACCCAGATGAATTTTAATACCTGAATGATTTCTCACAAAGGTGAATGGTGTCTATACATGAACACTTCCAATAACGTATTTTAAAAGTTTTTTTGTTTGTTTGTTTAATAGTAGGCTGTAGGTACTGAAAATATTTGTTACAGGTATGTTGTATTTGCCAAAATAATGTGTGCATGCATGTGTGCATCTGTGTGCATTTAGTGTGTGCATTTAGTGTGTGCATGCGTGTTTATAAGCCTCTTCACACAGGCTAATATCTGCATTGTTTCTTTTCACTTGACTTAAATCACAAACCATAGCTTTTCATGGAAGCAGTCGTCCTGACTTGTTTCCATTAGAGGCAGTGGCGTGCTCAGTACCTCTGGGAATTTTTGAAGGGAACCCAGCCCTGAAGGTAACTGTGATCCAAGGCAGCTCAGAAGAATGGTGATAAATAGACACAGCTATCCCAATCACAGGGAAAGAAGCCATAAGAGCTACTGCTTGCATGGATAATTCCTTTGTATCTGTGTCTCTCAAAGTTATTAAGAAATCTCGTGGGTTGGGTGGTGAACAGTCATTTTTTTCTCCCCCCTCCCTTTTTCTGTTTATTTTGAATTGAGATGAATTTTTCTCTAAAATGTAGAAAATTGAATCATAAGATGAAGGTATGATTGATTCATTTATGTCTGAACAGTCATGTATGTGCTCAATAAATATTTTCTGACTAATGAAATAAAAAAGAACTAAATCTTAGATCTTTTGCCATTTCTGATTGCCCCTGTACTTCCTAAGGTTAAAAACGCACTGCTTTAGATATGCATGATTCATAGTAAATTATAAACTATTTTTTGGTAGCTATAAAATGAGTCTTTAGCATTTCTAATGTTAGTAGTCAATAATTATGAACTACATGCATAAAATGAAAATTATAAACATAATAAAGTCTTTAATGTTATTGGTTACTGCTCATTGATTCATGCTATTTATTTTTTTAATCTCCACAGAAATTGGTCCAGTGACAATTACCACAGATCCCAAAAAATTTCAGTATGAACTCAGAGAATTGTATGTTCAGGTGAGTGAAATGGAAAATCATTTATCTTTGGCTGACTTTTCTCATTTTTAAAATCTGAAGGAAGTACTTGTTGTCTCTCAGGGCCTTGAGAAATGTCATGTCCTTTCCTCACCCATGTCTAGAATGAATTAAGCAGTAGATACAGAATATGATATAGTAAATTCATTTGGGCAGCACCTGCAGTCACCTTTGCCCCATAACAACAGAGCTGAGAAGATGGGAAAGCTTGGCTTTTTATAAAAAGCATTTGCAGAATCCTGTCCTAGATAGGTCCTTTCTCTTTGAAACACAAAAAACAGTTAATGATTCTTTCTCACAACATAAAGGACATAACTGAGGCAATTGTGATTCTCCTTCCTCTAGACCCATAGTAGCTTGTTCAGACTAACTTTCTCCCTCTGGGCTGTTTCCATTGTTCAGTGACTTCAGTGTGTGTGTTAATCCCCTAGGAGTTAATCCCCTAACTCCTCCTCACTCCTTGGTCTACTCGTCCATCTCAGTGAACATTTTTCTGCCATATTTTAGTCCCGAACTCCCACAAACACCCTGGATCTTATCACTGTTTCAAGTCTTCCATCTCTCAAATAACTAACTGAAACATCTTGGTCTCCATCAACACATTGTCCGCAGAGATAAAGATGATGCAGCTTCTTACGCTAAATCTGTTTCCTCACGTCCACCAGGAAATTCAGGCTCACATGCTTCCTGCCAGGCTATCAGATCTTCCAATTTTTCACTCGCCACCCATCTAGTTCAGAGGCTCATCATTTTAAAACACTGTTTTGCCTTCCCTGTATGAAGCACTTTTCTGTTCTACAGGCAAAACCTCATTTCTGAGTGACTTAACTATCTGCATGTTCATGTGTGTCCACCAGTTGCCAAGGGCTGCGAGAGTCTCACACCAAGGCACAGAATACCTACCACCTGCTCTGTGAGATAAGAACAAGTCTGGGGTGCAGAGCAGGAAGAAATCATACTTTCTTTAAATCACACTTTAAAGATTGTAAATGCCACTAGAGGGGTGGAAAAGAGAAGGGATTTAAAGACAGGAAGGGTGCAAGAACAACTTACGTACAAGCCCCATGAGGAGAGGGATACAGTTAGGAGGAGGGCCTGTGTAAGTCCCTTGAGACAGAACACAGAGCCAGGGAAGAGAGTGGCCCAAGAAGGGATGAGAGATAGACAGGTATCGGTCATTCCAACCCATAGGCAGTATCTGATGAGACCCTGCAGTGGGTCACAATGAAACCGTAACCACCCTGTCTCATGTTCTCACAGTTAGTTCTCCTGTGTTTCTTTGGTCAGTTCAACCTTAAGTTCCCTTTACTGACAATTTAAAATCTTACTCACCCTCCTTAAGCCTTTGTCCTATAACTATTATAAATCCCGTGATAGTTGCTATTTCAGCAAGGGTTCTGCTCAGTGCAAGTGAGTGACTTCAGTTTCAAGTACAGGCACATAGAAACGAAGCCTTTGGCTTCTCTGTCCTTCATAATATTGTTCCTTTGCTCCTTGACACTTCCTTTTCTCTCATCTATTGTATTTTTCTTCCCACTTTTTCTGTGCAACTTCTTGGGGATGCCTCTGTCCTTCAAATTGGCAGGCAAGTATTGGGGTTTCTCAGGCTTTAGGAACTGGATTCCACTTTCTCCTCATTTTATGGCCCCCTCTTTAGGAAAAATTGTGTATGGTCTCTCTCTCTCTCTCTTTGAGCTTTTGTCTCTTTTGAGGACAGAGACTCATTTTAATCACTTGGATGTCAAGGTGGCTGTCTAAAATGAGACTCATGATAATTCCTTCTATGGTTGCCCAAACCTGGCTCTTTGTTTCCTGTTTGCTACCTTTGTAAATGCTGCTATAGTATTGTGGTTGTCTAACCAAATATTTGATTCATTGTTAATACACCTCTTACCTCTTATGCTAACCTTTAAAAAGTCTTTTTAAACTTCATAAATGTCTTTAAAATCAGCTGAGTTTCTATCTCTTGACACCATCCTAATCCCAATGACTTTACTGAAGTAATGAAGAAAAGCACTAAGTGATGTTTTTTAATTTGCTCTTGGTTTTACTTTTTAAGCCCTTCTTGAATTTGTAGATGAAAGTCTGAAAACACAACTCTGCATAGCACTGCTATCGACTTGGCCCCGTTGGGTCCCATCAAATACTGCCTGTGGGCTGGGATGACTGGAGACCTGTCTACCTCTCATCCCTTTCTTGGGCCAGTTTTTTTTCTCTCTGTGTTCTGTCTCAAGGGACTCACATAGGTCCTCCTCATAACCGTGTCCTCGCCCTTCTCCCAGGGATTGTATGTACTCTGTTCTCCTTGCACCAGAACTTTCTGTCTTTAAATCCCATCTCTTCTGCACCCCTGTAACAGAACTTATAATCTTTAAAATACTAGTTTTATCTTCAATGTGATCTCTTCAGAGAGTCCTGCTCTGTCCTCCAGGCCTATTCTTATCTCGTTAGAACTTACATTGAAGGAACATGTTTGACATTATATGTTATACATCATACATTATTGAGTCCTCTGAGTACCATGCCTGGCATGTAGAGCAGGCTCACCTATGAGTGTAAGTGAAGTGATAAGTAGGTGTGCCAGATTATGCACATGAGCACAGGTCAAATCGCAGTTTGGAGTGTAATGTTTAATCAGTTGCACTGTTAGGTGAACAGCTTGAATGGGAACGCTATGGTTACTTCTGTCTGTGCCTATCTTGTGTGCACACTGAACTGAGTTATAGTTGATGAATATGTAAATGGATTTGCTTAAGCATCTCTTGATTGTCGCCACTTTTCCTAGCAATAATCCTCTATCCCTCTACCCTTAGAGCATGTAGCTGCAGCCGTCATTAACTTGCTATTTAAAATCTAGTCGTGTTTTTCTCCCTTTGAATTGAAAAACTCTTTAGATGTTGAGATCCTACAAAGATAGCATTGTTTCTATGGTTAAGGGATTCCATTTTCTTGGTTGCCTCAGTCTCTACATTCATTTATTCTACTGTGAACCCTGAGGACAAGCACTTGTAGTTCTCACTGTGGCCTGTGCTCTGTCTGGAGGATGAGCCAGGTTAGTAGGGTGTGGCTTAAATAGTTGCTGGATAAATGAATGACACTTAAAAAAAATATGTATTTGCAGCAACATTATATCACAATGATTTAAACTCAATAGTGCAAAGATAACAAAGAGCCAATCTCAGATTTCATTGTATTGTAGAGACCCAGAAAGGCTACTTAAGAGCGATTTCAAGCTGAGGACCCATTAGCAAGAGATTTACTGTTTTCACTTATTTCTTTGTAAGAATACAGCTGAACGATATTCACAAAAGTCTGAACAGACTGAAAATAGCTACATTCCAGATGAGACCTGGCACTGCACTGTGGTTTCCTGCCTCTCCCGCTTGTGTTTTGAAGGATCTTCAGGGAGTGCCTGTACCCTCCCTGTGCCATTTGTCTCCAGGGTGAAGGATCCTGCTTCCTGACTCACACCCGGTTCACTCTTTTGGCAGAGTTCTTCCCAACACCCTCTGGAATTGAATCTGATGCAGTCAATATCTAGGGCCCTTTGATTTTATCATTAAAACAAAACAAAACAAAGCAAAGCAAAGCAAAACAAAACAAGAACTTTCTCTTGGATCTGGAGCTTCTGTCTATGTCTCTGGACATTTGCTCTGGATGAGGTACATCTTATTAATTATTATTTATTGCCGTTTTGTTTTGGTTTTGTGTTTTTGCTCTCAAAAGGGCTCCACAAGGGCTGAATTAGAATATCTTGTTGTGAAAGGAATCAGATATTCAGTTTTTCCTTTCATTCAACACTGAGGACTATTACAGGCATCAAGGATTCCATGGTAATATTTTAATTTGAAAGTTTCTAGTGAATGCTTCTCTTTTCAATTAAAGCAAAAAAGGGAGCAAAAAAATCAAACCACAACAACTCTAGACTTAATGAAAGCTTCACATTTAATATAAGAAATATATACTGTTTCCTCTTTGTTCTTTGTATGGAGAATATTTTATTGTTTCATAAATTAATATAAGCAACTAAGTATGTTATGTATTGTATAAAATTTCCGTATAGGGGAATAGATTTTATTTTGGGTATAATTTCCTGACCTCCCCCCCCCCATCACTGGCATCAAATTCAGCAAACACTGCTGGTCTACTAAAGCTTAACTTGGACTTGTGGAAAAGCAAACATTTACAAACATTCCTTGCACATTTAAATTGGTTTTGAGAATAAGAAAAGAGAATTCAGTTTGCAGTATATTAAGTACTTGCCCATTCACATTGCATCTGTCTTAGTTTATTTTCCCATAGAGAAATGGAACGAGGAAACTAATCCAAATATTTATAAGAAAAGTCGACAGAGGTCCCTACATTTAAGTCATCACGCTGCTTGTATTGATTGTGTTTAATTTCTTTTCATCTGCTTCACAGAGAAGCAAGTTGAAAGACAAATGAACTTTCTCTCGGAGGAAAAAGGAGGAAAAGACAAATGACAACAAATGGTGCTCAGATCACACAGAGCTTGGCAATTAATGAAGCTGTAAATATGTAGGGAAGAGTGTGGCCTTGGGTCACATTCTTTATAAGAAATTATAAAGCCTGTTGAGCTTTAGAAAATATTATTGGCACTGTCAAGCCTCTAAGTATTTCATCCAAATGTTTTAAAGAACAAAAAGCACATTAGTCAAACATGTGAAATACAAAAATAAAATTCCACAAAAATAATAACCAAAATATTTCTACTTAATTGAATAGCACTTACAACCTTTGTATACATTGTTGATCCTTGAAAATTGCAAAGCTCTCCATAAAACTTAATATTCTTTTTTGACATTTAATGAAATAGACTTTTAAAACCCAAATGTATGTGGACCATCTATATTCATGTAGCAATAGGACAGAAATCTAAGAAAATCAGGATGGGGTCTCATTTCCCCAAGTCTTTAACAGAAGCAGAAGGATAAACATAAAGGAATAAGTGCAGCAGATGG